CTTTAAAGGTAATAACCAACACCTTGTACTGGGCTCGGAAAACAAATAAATTATCTACTTACATTTGTATGCTTATTATTTTGTGTAGCTACTTTAAAGTCCAGATAACAACCCAGAACTTATTTAGCAATCACCATTGTTTAATATTTTGTTGTTGTTGTGTACCTTAAAGTTGATTCTGACTTATGGTGAACAGTACTTGATTTTTTAGCCTTTACCTTTTAAGTTAATCTTGTTTTGAATTGCTTTGAGTCTCTGTTTTGGGAGAAAAGTGTAAAGTAAATGAAAGACACTGACTGAGTAAATACAAGCCAGTGGTACTTGCATACAGAGCTTTTTGCAGTTCCTTGCACTCAACTTTTTGTGAAAAGGTGTGAAGTGGACTCTAATAAACTGTTTACATTTGTTACTGTTGTGTTCCTTAAAGTTGTTTCTGATTTAGGGTGATCCTAAGGTAAATGTGGGATGTGGTGGCTCAAGTGGCTAAGATGCTGACTCTGTTGATTGCAAGATCAGCAGGTTGGCAGTTCGAGGCCCAAGGGGGGAGTTCCTGTCACTAGTCCCAGCTTCTGTCAACCTAGCAGTTCAAAAGCATGCAAATGCAAATAGATAAACAGGTATCACTTCGGTAGGAAGGTAAACAGCATTCTGTGCAATAATGCTGACAGCACGATCACAAAGTAGTCTCTGACAATGCTGGCTCTTTGGCTTAATAAGAGAGATGAACACCGCCCCCTATGATCAGACACGACCTAACAACCTTGTCAATGGGAAATCCCTTTACTTTACCTTAAGGTAAATGTATCATGGGGTTTTCTTGTCAAGAATTGTTCAGAGGGAATTGATTTGTTTTGTAGCCCATCTTTCTCCCAATATAGGGACTCAAGGTAGCTAACAACAAATTCAAAGCAACACAAAAGCATTAAAAAGCATAAATAAAAAGTTTTAAAATCAACTGAACAGTTCAAAAGATTAAAACATTAAACATTAAAAATATTAAAATGTATTTTAAAAACCTATATGCAAACTTTAAAATCTGACTCACACAGCATTAAAAAGCCCAACCCTTATCAGTTTGAAAAAGCCTGAGAACACAAATGTTTTTACCTGCTGCTGAAAGAAGAGCAAGATGGGGCCATCCTGGCATCTCTGGGGAGCAAATTTCAAAGTTGGGGAGCAGCAACAGAGAAAGCCCTCTCCTTTATTCTCACCAAATGAGCCTGAAAGGGTGGCGGGATAGAGAGAAGGGCCTCTTGAGATGATCTTAGAGCTTAACTAGGCTCATAAAGGTTTGGCTTTGTCTTCCTCTGAAGCTGAGAGTGTATGACTTGATCAAGATCACCCATTGGGTTTCCATGGCCCATCAGAGATTCAAACCCTGGTCTCCAGAGTTGCAGTCCAACACTTCAACCACTAGACTACATTAGACTACACTACATAGAAGCTGTGCTTCCCCCTGTAGTTTCCTCAAAAGAAACAGCACAGAAGTGACTTTTTGTGGACTGTTGCAGCTGAGAACTATTCAAAGCTATTTATGAGGTGTGGGAAAGTACTTTAGTAATGCCCAGAGACTATTTCTTTTCATATTTATGGGCTGAGGTCTAGCAGTAAAAACAATTTATGGCCTGAGTCCTAGCAAACCTTTGCTCAAAGTAAAGTTTGGGTGGAGAGAAGAAATGTGGTGGATTGTTCCTTTGGAAATGTTTTCATAGACTAGTTGTAAAAAAGAGAAGGGACAGCAAAAACAAAACAAAACACCAACAACCAAAAAAACCCAGACATTGGGGAGGGGGCAAGATTCTACTTCACTGATGCTGGAGAGTAAAATTCTGCCTATATACTTCCATTGGTAGTCTAGATAGAAGGACCTCCTTCTTTCTTCCCTGGCATGCCAGCCTAGCTCCACCACCCCAGCCATTGATGGTCTGTGGGGTGGGATTTTCTTCCAAGTGCTGTCCAGCTGCGACTCCCCAGTCAGTGAAGAATGGGCACCTTCATCTTTACCCTTATTT